CCAGAGCCATTTTACACAGTGATGGGAATTTACATCTAGATATCTAACTTCTCTTTAAAATATGAAAGACTTTAGAACCCTAGCCCTGTGTTTGTGTCAATCAGTGAGCATGCAGCATTGCATGAAATAGCTATTCCACACATTCCTTTCCCCGCCTCATGTTACCAATTACTACGACATCCCTGTCCCACACATTACATGCTCAGTCCCACTACATATTTGAGCTGTGACCTGGAGAACAGATTATGGAATATAAAGGAACCAGTTCCTTCCAAGTTTCTACACCCGTAACTATGTACCGTTTTGCAATATGCATAATCTTTCTAAGCTTTACTGTCTTCATCTGGTAGGGGCTTAAATGCTATTCAGGTGTTGTGAGGATTAAACAAGATAATATTGGGGACTAGGGAAATTTCCCAGTGAGTAAAGCGCTTACTGTACAGACATGAGGACCTGAGTTCATATCCCCAGTACCCACATAAAAAGTTGGCCATGGAGTCCAGCAAGATGGCTCAGAGGGTAAAGGTACTTCCTGCCAAACCTGATGATCTGAGATCAATCCCCAGAACCCAAACTGTGGGCGAATAAGACTGACTCTCCTGTGTAGTCATGCTGTGGTATACATGTGTGTGCCTTTCTGCACGCACACACACACACACACACACACACACACACACACACACATTAATAAAAATAAGTCTTAACACATTGACACAATTTTCTTCAGTTAATGCTAAGTTGTGAAGTAAATCAAGAGAAATGATCACAATGTGTACTCTAGTGAGTCTCATCATGTGATTCAACTTTACCTCAAAGTGTTCATTTGCAATGAACTGATCTGGAGTCTGTTATTATTACAGCTGATAAACCAGTCATAGAAGTTCAGGAGATACCCGAACGTCACAAAACACTGAACCCAATAATTAGCGACCTCATATTTCGCTTGGATATGGACAATGTGGTTGGTAAGTACAACTTGTGACTGGACACTGTAGAACACAGTCCAGTAGGTACAGTGCTTTAGACTGGCAATTTGTGAGCTTCTAGTTAAAAAAAAAAAGAAAGAAAGAAAAGAAAACTTAAGCAAGAGCTATCCCTTCTCAACTTAATAATAACCTGGCTCTAATAAGCCTATATATTAATAACCAATTATGTGATGGATAGTGCATTTACCCTTGCCTGCTCAGGAAATAATAGGTAGGTTTTTCTCTCCATTGCAAGCTTTTGGGACATTAATTATATGCTATATGGCTAGTTCTTTCAGAACATAGTTATCAAATTATATATAATGAGATAATGAAATTGAGTACAGTAAATATGATGACCTTACAATGTTCTTGTCACTCAAATGGGAAATTTAGGTAGTGGAAAGGATTGTCAAAATACTTAAAAATTTAGGAGGTGTGCAGATAACTGCATCCTTCAAACCACAACCCTGAAGGCAACCAACAAACTTCAGCAAAGTGGCAGACCAGCACCATCCACACTGTCTTTCCCAAACCAAAAACATTCAAAACACAAAACAAACAAACAAACAAAACCTATCAGAACTACACTGAAGTTCTTTAAAATAGGCAAAGGCTTACAGCAACCAAAGAAAAGAATGTCTAATAAGGAAACTAAAAAAAAAAAAAAAGAAGAAGAAGAAGAAAAAGGAGCCACTTTCAATATAGAAGGAAAGTTTTATGGAATTCAAGGCATTATCAATAAACATACCTTTTAACATGTGCTAGAGGGGGCCTGTCAATTAGAATAAAAAAGCTGCCAGGCAGTAACTGAACCACAGGAAAAAATGAAGATCTCCAGCACTGTTATCATTTTGATTTGTAATACCTGTTTTTGTATTTTATGTTTAAAAGGCTCCAAAGCAATGGAATTTTAGTCGTTGCATGAAAATTAATTCAAAATAATATCAAGGAAATTTGAAGGCATAGATATAGGCAACTCAATGGACTCAGAAAAACAATTTATATTATAACTGAGAAAAGCAACAGAGACAGATAATCATAAAGTAGAATTAAACAGACATCTTGGAGATGGAGAATTCAAGGAGTGGAAAAAATTAAGTATTATTTAGTGTATAGTAAGCATTAACTCTAAAAATAGCCTTTTACAATAATCTATGTATATGGATAACAGTTACATGGAAAACCACAAAACATTATTAAAAGTAGTCTTAAAAGGCTTAAAGAAATGGAAACACATTACAGGTTTATAGACTGGAAGACTGAGTATTTTAACTTATTTCCTTAAAATTTATCTATGGATTCAATGCCATTACGACTAAGATTTTAGTCACATTCTTACTGAAAATGAATACATTAACTCTAAAACTTACATAGAAGATCACAGGCTGAAAACAGATCACCCTGATAAAGGAAGACAAAAAAAATTCAAAGGATATAAAATACTATATGAGGCCTCTTTGTAACCAGAGTTCTAGACTAAAATCCTCAGCTCCAGTAGCCCCAACAAGATCGGCCGATTACAGAGTTAAGTAGTAGTGGGGTAAAAACCAAAACAAGCAATAAAGAAGAGGGATCTAATCGACACATTATTTAAATAGAAGAAGAATCGGAGCAGGAAAGCTTAAGAAAACAAAACTGGTCAATGGCCTCAATCCTGATTCTGCAGGTGAACTGAAAAAGTTACCTTTATCATGTGAGGTGATCAATCTGGCTCCTCCAAGGTGGCTACTTCTGTCCAGAGCAGTCTCACCTCCATGAATCACTGTTTTTTCTATGGCTCACCCTCCCTGGCTCTGCTGGACCTAGAGTCCAGCATTGCTGCAGGACTACCCCAATGTCTACAGACTTGACAGGAGATGAGATGAGTGAGGTAGAGAGGTGTCCTTGTGTGATTCACATACCCACACAGACTCAGACAGGATTCAGACAGGCCACAGAAGACAAACATGAAATAAAATTGCTGGAGAAAAACAGATACAGACATAGGCAAAGACTGCCTGAAAAGGACACCAGCACCTCAGGAAGTAAGATGAAGAGCTGGCTGATGGGCTCTCATGAAAGAAAAGGCTTCTGCTCAGCAAAGAAAACAAGGGACATCAAGATCATGATGGGAAGGTGACGGCCAGCCAATAGCTGTGGAGCCCCTATGGGACTGGACTAGGCCCTCTGTATAGGTGAGACAGTTGTTCAGCTTGAACTGTTTGGGGGGGTGGGGGCAGGCAGTGGGATCAGGATCTGTCCCTGGTGCATGAGTGTGCTTTTTGGAGCCCAGTGCCTATGGTGGGATACCTTGAGCAGCCTTGGTGCAGGGAGGAGGGCATTCGACCTGCCTCAACTGAAAGTACCAGGCTCTTCTGACTCCCCATGGAAGACCTAGCCTTGGAGGAAGGCTGGGAGGCAGGAAGAGGGAGGAGAGGGGGTCTGTAAAATGAATAGAAAATTTCTTAATAATGAAAAAAAAATTATCAGAATGAAGAGGCAATCTGTAGAATAGGAGAAAGCCTTTGCCAGCTGGACATCTGATTGGATGAATATTTAGTATATATAAAGAATTTAAAAAAAAAAACCACCAAAACATAAGCTAGCCATTAAAAGGAGAAACAAAATGTGCAGTTCACGAACAGAGATTCTGGGAAGGAAAGATGAATGTGAACTGGGGAGTATAAGAGGTTCTCAAAGGACTAAAATCAGAACTACAGCATAAGCCAGCTGTATCACTCCTGTGATAAACTTGAAAAAAAATCTGTCTAAATCAAGAGTACCACAGAGAGAGCTATACGTTCCTGTTTATTAAAGTACTCTTCACAGTACCCAAGATAAAGAAAGTGTGGTACATTTACATAATGGAGTTTTATTCATCCTTACTGGACACTGAAATTCTGCAATTTTCATGACAATGGACTGTCATGTTTTTAAAAAATAATATTGCCTGTTTTCTCTCACACATGGAATTTCAAGTGTGTGTGTGTGTGTGTGTGTGTGTGTGTGTGTGTGTGTACTTGTGTGATGTGAAAGTATAAGGGATATTAGGAAGAGGAACAGACTAGTAGGAGAGGGAACATGGGACAGTTAATGGAGGTGAAATGTTCAAATTACATCATATACTTGAATGAAAACATCATAACAAAACCCAACACAATAAATATATGCTAACAAAAAATTTGGATAAAAATTCTCAAGTAAATATCAAGAGAACTCATTACTAGCTTTTTGAAAAATACCCAAAAATCTTCCAGAGATACTTCAAGATAAAGACAAAGTCACACCAGCAGCTCAATTATCTGAACTCCCACAGACAAGAAGAGAATGTGGTTCTCTAATTATAAAAGTGGAGGCAAGTGCATGTGTCACCTCCCTTTACATCTTAATTGATTAAAAAGGAAGCTGGAGTCATCGCAGGGCTTTATGTCCTACGTAATCCGTGCACTGTGTAATTGTGTAATTTGTACACAGCATGATCATGCAATCTATGCACATGTGTGGCATAGCTCTGTAAGCCCATATGTGCATGTGCAGGGGGAATCCATAAAAAGCAGATCACAGAGACTGCAACTGTTCCCCGAGACAAAGCCTGCCAGCGCCCATTGGACTAAGAGCTGCTCCCTGTGACAGAATCCGTCAGCACCATTAGACCAAGAGTCCCGACTAGACCAAGAGCTCCCACTGGACCAAGGGTATCCATCAGACCAAGAGGGGCTCCCTCAGACACAGACACCACTTGCACCAAGTGGAGAAAGAAATGGGTAGACGCCAGTGCAAAAATACAGTCAACAACATAAAAACCAATATGGCTCCATCAGAACCTACATCAGCAAGACCTGAACATCCCAACACAGAAGAAACAGAAGAAATCGATCTTAAAAATGGCTTTAAGAAGATGATTGAGGTCTTTAAAGAGAAAATGAAAAATTTCCTTAAAGAAATTGAGGAAAAGTCAAACAAAAAATTGGAAGAAATCAGTAAATCCCTTAAAGAAAGCCAAGAGAAAGCAGTTAAACAGGTGAGGGAAACAGTTCAAGATTTGAAAACTGAAATTGAGATAATAAAGAAGACACAAACTAAGGGAATGCTGGAAGTAGAAAATCTGAGTAAATAAACAAGAACTACAGATGTAAGCATAACCAACAGAATGCAAGAGATGGAAGAGAGGATCTCTGTTGAAGATACAATAGAAGAAATAGATTTGTCAGTCAAAGAAAACACTAAAGCCAATGAAGTCATAACACAAAATGTCCAGGAAATTTGGGACACCATGAAAAGACCAAACCTAAGAATAATAGGGATAGAAGGAGATGAATACCAACTCAATGGCACAGAAATATATTCAACAAAATCATAGAAGAAAACTTTCCCAACCTAAAGATGGAAATGTCTATAAAGATACAAGAAGCTTACAAAATACCAAATAGACTGGATCCAAAAAAAAAAAAAGTCCCCTTGCCACAAAATAATCAAACCACTAAACTAACAGAATAAAGATAAAAATATTAAGAGCTGCAAAGGAAACATATAAAGGCAGACCCATTTAAAAAAAAAACAAAAACAAAAAAACACCTGACTTCTCAATGGAGACTATAAAAGCTGGAAGTTCCTGGAAAGATGTTATGCAGACACTAAGAGATCATGGATGCCGACCCAGACTGTTATACTCTGCAAAACTTTGGAGCCTAGTGTCTAGGGTATGACAACTTTCACAGCCTTGGTACAGGGAGGAGGAGCTTGGACCTGCCTCAGCTGAGTGTGTCAGGCTCTGCTGACTCCCTATGGGAGACCTTGACTTGGAAAATGTGGGGATGGGGGGTGGGTTGGGGGAGACGGCTGGGGGGTGGGAAGAGGGAAGAGGGAGGGATCTGTGGTTGGTATGTAAAGTGAATAGAAAATTTCTCAATAATAAAAAATTTAAAAAGAAAAGAAAAGGCAGCTGTATACAACATACATATATAATACATTGTTGGGTTTATAACTGAGGCATATGACTCATTGCAGTACAGCCATATGGTATGGGCAGGTGGGAGCAGGTGGGATGCCCAGAAATAAGAAAATGATGACTAAGAAGGTAACTCACACAGGAACAAATGCCTAGATCCAGAAATATCAAAAACAAAGGCTCTTGCAGAACACAAATATTATGTACACTTTCTTGAATCATTTTCTTTAAAAGGCAGAAGCTTACATAAAGAAATATCATAGTATAGGATATTTATATATGTGCAATATGTAAAATGTTCATAAAATGGGAAAGAAGGAAGAGAACCATATGTAAACATTTACATTGTCTCCTGTGTGTGAAGGGGCACCAATCTGAGGTGGCGTCTAAAGTTGCCTATGGGCTTTAACACCTACTTGTGGATTCAGTTGACTGTCATCTAGATTGTCACTGTTCATCTACAAATCTCCTTTCAGTAAATGCGGCAGTATACTTTTATAAAAGATATCGCTGTGGGGCAAATGCTAGTTACAGAACTCTGAGGTACCGATTCATGTAAGAACTACATTATTACTTGGATGTGTGTTTTTGGAACAAAGATCTTGAACTTCAACGCTTGGAGGCTTATATGTGTGCTCACAGATCTCCTGTTCCAATGTTACATGATATGACAGTGCAGAGGTCATCAATAACAAAGTCTAATAAACTTAGTATCATGCATACACAACCATCTAACATTTCTATTTAAAATCACCTTATCAAATGTCTTTGAAATCTGTCGTTTTTTACAGAGAATAAGCTTGATAACTTGAGGGACATGCTTGGACAACATTTATTAAGAAACGAATTCAAGCCACAGTCAAAGAGTGGACCCGGTAAGAAAACTTCAGTTCAGTACTTCTCATCATGTTTTTCATTAATGTGCACCTTATGACAATACTTACTGTGACACGGCCAAAGGACTGCATGCACACTTTCCTATTATTGTGTAGACCAGGTACTGGCTAAAAATTGAAAGTTAGCTCGATAGCATTTCATTTAGAACTCATCCATTTAGGAAATGTTCCATCAAAACCAATCACAGTTTTAGCAAGCATAGAATATTACAAAAACGGGTGTGTGTAGTGGTATTCTCATCCCATCCTACGTCCAGCTTAGGTAGGAAAGTGCATTTCATCTGTGAGGTACAGCACTGGCTCACAGATGTGACAGAAAGACGGACTTAGCCGTTCTTACACCAGCTAACAGTCTCCTCTAGACTCTGGGAAGAGGAAGGGGGCAGGGAAAGGGGGTAGAAGAAAATAGTGAGAGATGAATATAACCTAAGTACGTTAGTATTTGAACAAAAATCCCATTATGAATCCCTTCACTCTTTACAGCAAATATATAATAATAAAGATGTCTAAGGTGCAGCCAGTTCTTCAGAGCAAGACCTCCATTCTATGTCAAGATCAGGAAACATTTTTCAGCTTCCCATATGTACCCTGTTGCAACCACCTTTTACGCAAAACGTTTTAGGTGTGAGAGACCACCCAGTTAAGGTTTAACTACCTCATTCAAAGTAGAAGCTTTCTGACATGTTTCATTTTAGAGTTTGGGTTTTTTGTTTGTTTTTGGTACTGCATTGGAGATACTCTTTTCTAAATATAAGAAAAGGTACAAATCACAAAATATTACATGGAAAAAGACACAATCCTAATTTCAATACTTGTTTAAATTCTTCCCTTTTTCTCATTGAGGTACCAAATCTCCCTAAGATGATGTATGAAAGGCTTTTTTTCCCTTGGCATTGCTGATTATTGCTTTCCATCACCAGCATCTATTAGATTTAGAGTTATATAATGTAAGAAGACCACTGAAACACATCTGGATAAACTGAAGAATGGCTGCTGTGTGTATGACTTAATCATGGTCAGCAACTTGGCTTTTGGGGGAAAAAATATTAGGCTCCCACCTCATCAGCTAGACCCCTCCAGTCTTCATGGATTTTAACATAAGCTTTAAGGTTATATTATTGTTGAAACTATCCGTGATGATGTAAAGTTGCATGTAAGTTTCTTCTGCCTGGAAAGAGCACCAGTTAAGAAACTGTGAGGCATGTTCCTGTATGTCAGCATTGTCATCAGTGTGCTGTGGTGGTAAATCACTAACAGTGTAAGTCCCAACACAGTAGGGTTCCTGTGATCTGGAATAGTCCTCCTAGTCACACTCAGATTTCTGTTCCACTCCGTTGAAAAATGCAAACTAGCATAATAGTAAGCACTTGTGTGTATTTCTATGTTGTTTAGATCCATCGTTTTGTAGAGATGGATATAGGACAGTTGACTGGAGTCTTTAGAAGATATATAACAACATAAGCCAAGGCATTACCACATAAAGAACACTTTTTAAATATGGATACCCAATGACAGCAAAACTTAGAAGTTGTTATTACATAAGAAAAACATTTCATAAAATCCTTCCTGTCTTAATTTGAATGTTAGTATTTATGAATAAATGAAAAATGAGCTACATATACTTATGTTTGGATCTCTTCTATGTTCAAAATGATCTATAGAAATGCTTTTTCACGGTGACTTCAGAATATGCCTTATGGGAATATTTTAAGTATATTACAGTCATTTTCTAAGCGTGGAGTGGTGGCACTTACGAAGCTGAGGTAGGAAGATCAGAAGTTCAAAGCCAGTCTGAACTACCTAATGTGTTCTGAGTCAGCCTGGGCCCTCTTGCTGTTCCTCAAAAACAATCAATTTCTATTTCTAGCTAGCTAGGAAAGTTACTTTTCATTTTCCAATGCCAAAATGCTAGCTTGCATTTATGATAACAAAAAGAATATAATTGGTAATTATTTTATTGGCTACTAATACCTCTCTTGATGGTTACGGTGTCCCATCATCCTATTTTCTTCAAGAGGCACTTTCTCTTGTGAAAAGAAAGGGCATGGTGGTGTTTAGAAAGGGTAATGAGAGAATATGATCAACATGTTGCATGTATGTATGAGGATTTCACAGGGTAGCCTATTGTTTTATATAATTTATACTATAAATGTATTTGTACTTGTTTTATTTTAAATACTATGAATTTGAATTTCTTAAGAGGGCGTCAGATTCCCTGGAGCTAGAGTTTCAGACAGCTGTGAGCTTCCCAGTGTGGGTGATTAGGAACCAAACTCCAGTCCTCTGCAAAAAGCATCCAGTGCTTTTAACTGTGGAGCTGTCCCTCCAGCTTCTAATTACTATTCTTTAAGAATAAATAGTAAGTTTTCACTGTGCATGTAAGCAAACAAGAGAGAAAGGGAGAGCCGGGTGTGACAGTTTGTCTTTCGAAGTATCTGACAAATCTGTTAAATCTGTTTAATTTTATAGAGATCGGCAAAGATAAAAAGGGGACCTCTGCCAAATCCAAATCAACAGCGAAAACAGACACAACAAGTAAGCAGGGTAAGGACAGTTACGCTTGTTCAAGTCTGAGGTGCATGTGTATTTATCCCTCTAGACTTCAATTAAGTTGCCATCTGTTTCTTTTCCTGTTGATGGGACGCAAGGGAGAAGGGCCTTATCTTGGTTCACGGGTTCGAGTATAATCCTCTGTAGCAGGAAAGTCAAGGCAGCAGGAACTGGAAGCAGCCGGCCACTTCACCTCCATAGTGAGAGGAAGAGAGCAATGATAAATGCATGCACTCTAGTTCTTAGCAGGCTTTTTCTACGCTTAGACAGTCCAGGGTCTCCTGGATTCGGGAATGGTATGACCCACAGTGGTCAGGTCTTCCCACTTCAGTTAACTCAATCCCAATAAGCCGCAGAGACATTCCCAGAAGACCATGTCCTAGGTGATTTTAGAGTATGTCAAGCTGACAATTAGTACCTGCTGTCACCTCACCTTACAGGATATCACCTATCCACAAATTCTCTCCTATAACTGGTACTCTTGTGTCTACTATTAATGGAGCATTAGCTGATGTTACCAGCTTGGAACTGATCCACTCCAACAGCATCCCTATAAAATCCTAGTGGGGGAGGAGTGTCAGGACACATGTGGAGAGCTCCTGCTGAAGCAAGCCTCCCTGTGTTCCTCTCTTTTCTTTTTAATGTCACCAGCAGTACCAGAAAGGACTCACCCTGTGAACCCACTGAGCTTTAGAGATCTTCTCAGAGACCTTGGCTCCAAATTTATCTCATTGGCAGTTAGAGCCCCAGATGTGAACCACAGGGACATATCACGGTTCATAACAATGTCTCATCATACAGAGGGTACCACTAAAGACACATGATAGTAAAAGGACTGGGAAAGGACATGGCATTGAGGGGAAACTAATCAAAGTGTCTAAACAATGGCTCTGAAATGTAAGCAAGAGTGAAAAAAGTTGCAAATGGGCAGGTACAGAAAAAGAGCAGGAAGAAAATTGAAGAAATAACAATTGTTTCTTTTAAATATATGATGGCTATTAATCTCCACAACCAGACTTAATGGACTATAATGAAATAAGCACCATGAAATTCATAGCCAGAACAACTGTATTATAAATGTTGGAAAGCAAATCTTGGGAGACAGAAGAAATAACTCTTCATTAAAAATAAAGAACCTGAGATCATCAGAAATTACAAATCCCAGAAAACACTGGGGAGATACATTCAAAACACTAGGAGAAGAAATTCACCCAAGAATCTCACAATGACCAAAACTACCTTTTTAAAATGAAGATGGAATATCAACAAAGTAAAATTTTAGACAATGTGTTGATAGACACCCTGCTTTAAGAAAGTTATTCTGAGTGAGATTTGGGGGTCTCACACAGTAATTAGTATCACCCAAAAAGAGCATAACTAGAAATAATTCTGTAATTACAGAACAGTGTGTATGTTCATTGCACCTCTTCTCTGTACTAATTTGACACATTATAAATCTGTCTTTGGGCCTATATGATGATAGAAATATAGCACAAATGTTGTAGTGAAGCATATCATTATTTTGCACGAATAATATATGCTAATAAAAAGCTAAAAGGGAAATAGAGTACGTTTCCTAGTGCAACCCAAAGAAGATGGGTGAGAACGATGGTGTATTCATGTAAGAAAATGATACCAGTTGTTAACTCAGAGGCATAGGAACAAATGCAAAGAACCAGGTAATTCACCCAAAAGGGTTGCTGTAACAAACATTGTAACTCCATACATAGCTACTCCTTCCTTCTTTCATCTTTAGTTCATGGGCATAGCATGACATAAATAACTATGACATTCTAGTCTCTGTAACATGGAGTGGTGTTTTGTGCAGAACTGTTGAGAGAGGTGTAATACACACAGAGAGGAGTCTTGTTTCCACAAATGGGCTGGCGCTGCCCACCTTTGCTTCTCAGATAATCCTCTCTGGAAATATGCTCACACACGTACTCAGAGGTGTGTGTCTCTTACGTGATTCTAAATCCAGTTTAGTTTAACATTCAAAATTAACCATCACTAGAATAATGTTCTTGAAATATGGTATAAGCAGAGATTGGAATGCCAAAGGAAAAAACAAAACCTGTACATCAATTTTTTTCCTTTACATAGTATTCTGAAATGTGTTTTGTGTCTTTAGGTAAGGAACTAAGTATTATTAAAGGAACAAAACTACTTGAACAACTAAAAGATCAACATGGTAAGAATAATAATTTTTCAAGTCATATATTTATGATTTACATTCTAACCTATAGTAACAATATCTGTGTTGTTGCATGAGCAACAGTTTTTGTGGATTCTCTCTTACAAAGAAATTCTAGTGTTTGTTATAAGTAGGCATAAAATAAATAATATGAATAGTGAAACTGAGCCAATTAGAAAATAACCTATCCAAACCCAGTGCCAAATCAATCTTGGAGTGTCTGAAGTAAATTATCCTGATGCTATTCCACTCACTTTCCATTTCTGGCTTAGAGTTAAAACATTGTGTTGAGCTTGAAAAAGCTGGAAATCTTTCTGGTGAGTGTGCTCAGAAGAGGTCTACAACACACAGCCCACTTCCTTTTAACAGTTTAAGTTGGTGAGAGTGGATGGTGCAGCCCTGCAGTGGATTTCTTCCTCTGTACTATTATCAGTTCCAGATCATTGGTCTTAAATGTGTTAGACACACTTCTTTTTGATCCTAGAAAGACGTCAACTATGAACAGTTTTTTAGAGTTGTTTCTGATTAGTGTCCTCAGAGACTTGCCGTGCCTGCCTCCTTGTAAGGACATGAGGAGAAGGTGGGTCTTCAACACCGACCTCCATGCAGAGTCTGAAGTTTGCAATATAATCTCCCCATCCCGGTATATACATGTGTGCTGGGATGGAGGTTTCCTGGCAAGGCATGGTTTCTGTAACTTTAAGTGCAAATGTTGTACTTCCATGTCTTATTAAGTATAAATTGAGCATATATTGTTAATCAATCAAGTAAGGCCTCTTCACCTGAAAGCTTACAACTTGGGGACAGTGAGGATTGAAAACTGGCATTATTTGAAATAAGTCTTCAAACTTGTTTTTGTGTTTTGCCCTAGAAATAATGGATTTAATGAGCCGTGTTTTTCAGTGTTTTTGTTTAGATACGGTTGCTCTGGGCGACGCTTACTAGTTAGATCCTTACCACTTTTGAGTGACAACCTCAGACACAGCAACAAAATGCCCCATTTAAGTCCAGTCAATTTAAAATATTTGTCTTTTCTGTTATTTCTTTGACATCTGCAAAAATACCCCACAGAAGTAACTCGCAAAGTGGGGGGTGGTATTTTAGCTTACAGTTCAAG